CAGAACCCTAACATTCCATAACCCTGGCCCAACCATAATGTTGTTGGTTCACAAAATATTTCTCCTTGTTATTATCTCAAAAATAAAATGAGAGGAAGGCAATCTTGTATTTTGGACTGTCGCCAAGACAGCACATTCACCTAGACCCTTTAAGGGCTTGATTCTCATTGCTTGGTAACTGCTTAGAAAGAGGCACATGACAGCCTATTCACTGGTGTGACAGCTCTGCTCAAAAAAGGGCATTGATTCTCATTGCTTATTTGAATACACAAAGAGGCTGATGGAGTCAGAAGGCTTGCTGGTGACGAGGTCTCTGTCACAAATTTAGCTGTGGCTGCCTGTAGATTTCACACAGATTTTATGATTGACACGAAATTTAATGATCAATATCACAGATTAGAAGAATTAATGGTGTGTTTTGGCTATTTAACCAAATGGCCTCTGTATACAATTTTGGCTAACATTTTTATCCAAAGCCCGGAAAATTTAAATGGCAGGAATATCAGGGACTTTTAATCTGAGGGTCCAGGGTTCAAGTCGGATGTTTAACCAAATGCCAATCATACGAGTTACAGCAACAAATTGAGTGCCAGGATAGGTTTAGCTTCTCAATTCTACATCAAATCATATCTAAGTGCCTGTAGGGTTCAAGTCCCTGGGAGAAATTGAGTACTAGCTTGAAAACATTGATAGTGAAACAAATTCATGCAAAAAGTAGGTGCGGGAAGCTTGAGAGTTCCAAAAGTCGTATAAATGCAAAAGTCACTTGAATGAGAATGGATCAGCTTGAAAACTTCTGAGTGGGTGAAATACAAAATAAACTTGGAAAAAGAGAGTTCCACATTTCATAAAAAGTCTGAGTGGATTCAAATTTTGTAAATTCTAATGGATTATCAAAGATTGCCAGTTTTTGTGAAAAAGCTTGAGTTCATTATTTTTGCAATTTACCGGATTATCTAAGCCACTAAAAAAGTCCATCAGACAAAGTGCATCAGAAAGGATGAGAATTTGCGCCTTGTGCGATTTCAGCATTTTTAAGGAATGAACCAAAGTTTAATGAAAAACATCACAGATGAAAAAAAGCACTATTCCACTTTGGCTGATAGACCAGAATTCATATCTCAAACCTTGGCCAACATTAACACTTTAAACCTAACCTCCTTCACCCTAACTCTAGCCCAAGGGTGCGAACTTATCCAGAATGAGTGACATGGGTGCAGTCTTCATTCAGATCATGCAGTTACAGATTTTTCCTCTAATCATCTCCTGGAGTATTTGCTAAAGACGGATTAGAATTTAAGTCAGGTGTAACTGCATGATTGGGATGAAATCCTGCACCACAGCAGCTCATTCTGATAGAGTAGGTACCCCTGCTTGATAGAGCGAGTACGTGCCAAGCGTAACCCTCCTGAACCTGACCCTACCAAAACCCTAAACATAACTCCAAACTTTAGTTGCAATCCCATCAACTCCTTACTGGAACCCGATTACCCGTAACCCTAACATTCCATAACCCTGGCCCAAAGCATAATGTTGTTGGTTCACAAAAATATTCTCCTCTTGTTATTATCTCAAAATAAAATGAGTAGAAGGCAATCTTGTAGGCCTCAATAATCCCTCCCTTTGCAATAACTTTGTCGCAAAGACAGCTCATTCACTGACAAGGACGGTTTCTTAAAGGGGGCTTGATTCTCATTGCTTGGTATGTCATGCTTAGAAAGAGGCACATGATGTACAAGCTTGCTGGTGTGACAGCCTCTGCTCAAAAATCAGCATTCTACTGGACCTCGACGTGATTTGAACACGCATCCTTCTGATCTGGAGTCAGATCGCCATACCCGTTCCACGAGGTCCCACGCCCATTTAGCTGTGGCTGCCTGTAGCATTTCACAGCATTTTTTATGATTGACACGAAATTTAATGGCAATATCACAGATTAGAAGAATTAAAAAATCTTCTGTTTTGGATGTTTAACCAAAATGCCAATCACAACGATTTTACAGCAGCTTTCTAAGCCGGATAGCTCAGTCGGTAGAGCATCAGACTTTTAATCTGAGGGTCCAGGGTTCAAGTCCCTATTCGGGCAGTGTGATTTTCACGGATGTTCGCTACATAGTGAAACAAATTGAGTGCCAGGAGTAGGTTTAGCTTCTCAATTCTACAGTCAAATCATTTCTAAGTGCCTGTACTTCTGAGGGGAGAAATTGAGTACTCAGCTTGAAAACATTGCTCTCCCATTTCATGCAAAAAATAAATGCGGGAAAGGTGAGTTCCACAAGACAAATCAAAAGTCACTCCATGTGGATGTGCTCAAACTTCTGAGTGTGTGAAATAGAGTACTGTACTTGTCAAAGATTGTTTCTCTCATTTCATAAAAAGCTTGAGTACATTATTTTTTGCAATTCTAATGGATTATCTAAGCCAGTTTTGAGTTTGCAGACACAACCATTGCGCACAAAGTCCATCAGGAAGACAAGAATTTATGCCTTGTGCGATTTCAGCATTTTTATGAATGAACCAAAGTTTAATGAAAAACATCACAGATGAAAAAGCACTATTCCACTTTGGCTGATAGACCAGAATCCATATCTCAAACCTTTGGCCAACATTAAACACCTTTTCAAACCTAACCTCCTTCACTCCTAACTCTAGCCAAGGGCAGGTAACTTATCCAGAATGAGTGATCGCGGTGCAGTCTTTCATTCAGATCATGCAGTTACAGATTTTCTTCCTCTAATCATCTCCTGAGTATTTGCTAAAGACATGGATTAGTTAAGTCAGGTGTGTAACTGCATGATTGGGATGAAATCCTGCACCCACAGCAGCTCATTCTGGATAGAGCGAGTACCCTGCTTGATAGAGCGAGTACACGTGCCAAGCGTGAACCCTCCTGAACCTGACCTACCAAAACCCTAAACATAACTCCAAACTTTAGTTGCAATCCCATCAACTCCTTACTGGAACCCGACACTGTGAACCCTAACATTCCATAACCCTGGCCCAAACCATAATGTTGTTGGTTCACAAAATATTCTCCTCTTGTTATTATCAAAATAAAATGAGAGAAGGCAATCTTGTAGGCCTCAATAATCCCAATTCCCTTTGCAATAACTTTTTCGCAAAGACAGCACATTCACTGACAAGGACGGTTTCTTTAAGGGGCTTGATTCTCATTGCTTGGTATGTCATGCTTAGAAAGAGGCACATGATGTACAAGCTTGCTGGTGTGACAGCCTCTGCTCAAAATCAGCATTCTACTGACCCCGACGTGATTTGAATACACAAACTTCTGATCTGGAGTCAGAAGGGCTACCGTTGCGGCAGGAGGTCCCACGTGCCCATTTAGCTGTGGCTGCCTGTAGCATTTCACAGCATTTTTATGATTGACACGAAATTTAATGGCAAATATCACAGATTAGAAGAATTAAAAAATCTTCTGTTTTGGCTGTTTAACCAAAATGCCAATCATACAAGTTACAACAGCTTCCAAAGCCCGGATAGCTCAGTCGGTAGAGCATCAGACTTTTAATCTGAGGGTCCAGGGTTCAAGTCCCTGTTCGGGCGAGTGAGATTTTCACCGATGTTCGCGCGCGTGGTGAAACAAATTGAGTGCCAGGAGTAGGTTTAGCTTCTCAATTCTACAGTCAAATCATATCTAAGTGCCTGTACTTCTGAGCGGGAGAAATTGAGTACTCAGCTTGAAAAACATTGCTCTCCATTTCATGCAAAAAATAAATGCGTGGGAAAGGTGAGAGTTCCAAAAGACAAATCAAAAGTCACTCAATGTGATGTTCTCAAACTTGAGTGGGTGAAATACAGTATTGCATATTGATAAAGATTGCTCTCTCATTTCATAAAAAAAAAGCTGAGTGCATTATTTTGCAATTCTAATGGATTATCTAAGCCAGTTTGCGAGTTTGCAGACACACAACCATTAAGCACCAAAGTCCATCAGAAGACAAGAATTTATGCCTTTATGCGATTTCAGCATTTTATGAATGAACCAAAGTTTAATGAAAAACATCACAGATGAAAAAAGCACTATTCCACTTTGGCTGATAGACCAGAATCCATATCTCCAAACCTTTGGCCAACATTAAACACCTTTCAAACCTAACCTCCTTCACCCTAACTCTAGCCCAAGGGTGCAAGAACTTATCCAGAATGAGTGACTGCGGGTGCAGTCTTTTTCATTCAGATCATGCAGTTACAGATTTTCTTCCTCTAATCATCTCCTGGAGTATTTGCTAAAGACGCGGATTAGTTAAGTCAGGTGTGTAACTGCATGATTGGGATGAAATCCTGCACCCACAGCAGCTCATTCTGGATAGAGCTTTGTAGTACCCCTGCTTGATAGAGCGAAAAGTACACGTGCAAAGCGTAACCCTCCTGAACCTGACCTACCAAAACCCTAAACATAACTCCAAACTTTAGTTGCAATCCCATCAACTCCTTACTGGAACCCGACACCCGTGAACCCTAACATTCCATAACCCTGGCCCAAAGCATAATGTTGTTGGTTCACAAAATATTCTCCTCTTGTTATTATCTCAAAATAAAATGAGTAGAAGGCAATCTTGTAGGCTCCAATAATCCCCACTTCCCTTTGCAATAACTTTGTCGCAAAGACAGCCTATTCACTGACAAGGACGGTTTCTTAAGGGGCTTGATTCTCATTGCTTGGTATGTCATGCTTAGAAAGAGGCACATGATGTACAAGCTTGCTGGTGTGACAGCCTCTGCTCAAAATCAGCATTCTACTGACCTCGGCGGATTTGGAACACGCATCCTTCTGATCTGGAGTCAGACGCTACTGCGCTACCGTTGCCACGAGGTCCCGTGCCCATTTAGCTGTGGCTGCCTGTAAGCATTTCACAGCATTTTTATGATTGACACGAAATTTAATGGCAAATATCACAGATTAGAAGAATTAAAAATCTTCTGTTTTGGATGTTTAAATCAAAATGCCAATCATAATGAAATTTACAGCATCTTTGAAGCCCCGGATAGCTCAGTCGGTAGAGCATCAGACTTTTTTAATCTGAAGGTCGGGGTTCAAGTCCCTATTCGGACGTAGTGTGATTTTTCACGGATGTTCAAGTACATAGTAAAACAAATTGAGTGCCAGGAGTAGGTTTAGCTTTCTCAATTCTACAGTCAAATCATTTCTAAGTGCCTGTATTTGAGCGGAGAAATTGAGTACTCAGCTTGAAAAACATTGCTCTCCCATTTCATGCAAAAAAATAAATGCGTGGGAAAGGTGAGTTCACAAGACAAATCAAAAGTCACTCCATGTGGATGTGCTCAAACTTCTGAGTGTGTGAAATAGAGTACTGTACTTGTCAAAGATTGCTCTCTCATTTCATAAAAAGCTTTGAGTACATTATTTTTGCAATTCTAATGGATTATCTAAGCCAGTTTATGAGTTTGCAGACACACAACCATTGGCACCAAAAGTCCATCAGAAGACAAGAATTTATGCCTTGTGCGATTTCAGCATTTTTATGAATGAACCAAAGTTTAATGAAAAAACATCACAGATGAAAAAGCACTATTCCACTTTTGGCTGATAGACCAGAATCCATATCTCAAACCTTTGGCCAACATTAAACACCTTTCAAACCTAACCTCCTTCACCCTAACTCTAGCCCAAGGGCGCGAACTTATCCAGAATGAGTGACTGCGGGTGCAGTCTTTCATTCAGATCATGCAGTTACAGATTTTTTTTCCTCTAATCATCTCCTGGAGTATTTGCTAAAAGACGGATTAGTTAAGTCAGGTGTAACCTGCATGATTGGGATGAAATCCTGCACCCACAGCAGCTCATTCTGGATAGAGCTTAGTACCCTGCTTGATAGAGCGAGTACACGTGCTACAAGCGTAACCTCCTGAACCTGACCCTACCAAAACCCTAAACATAACTCCAAACTTTAGTTGCAATCCCATCAACTCCTTACTGGAACCCGGATTACCCGAACCCTAAACATTCCATAACCCTGGCCCAAACCATAATGTTGTTGGTTCACAAAATATTCTCCTCTTGTTATTATCTCAAAATCAAATGAGTAGAAGGCAATCTTGTAGGCCTCAATAATCCCACTCCCTTTGCAATAATCTTTGTCGCCGAAGACAGCACATTCACTGACAAGGACGGTTTCTTTTAAGGGGGGCTTGATTCTCATTGCTTGGTATGTCATGCTTAGAAAGAGGCACATGATGTACAAAGCTTGCTGGTGTGACAGCCTCTGCTCAAAAATCAGCATTCTACTGACCGACGACGGATTTGAATACACAAACTTCTGATCTGGAGTCAGAAGGGCTACTGCTAAGTGCAGGAGGTCCCACGTGCCCCATTTAGCTGTGGCTGCCTGTAGCATTTCACAGCATTTTTATGATTGACACGAAATTTAATGGCAATATCACAGATTAGAAGAATTAAAAATCTTCTGTTTTGGCTGTTTAACCAAAATGCCAATCATACAAGTTACAACAGCTTCCAAAGCCCGGATAGCTCAGTCGGTAGAGCATCAGACTTTTAATCTGAGGGTCCAGGGTTCAAGTCCCTGTTCGGGCGAGTGAGATTTTCACCGATGTTCGCGCGCGTGGTGAAACAAATTGAGTGCCAGGAGTAGGTTTAGCTTTCAATTCTACAGTCAAATCATATCTAAGTGCCTGTACTTCTGAGCGGGAGAAATTGAGTACTCAGCTTGAAAAACATTGCTCTCCCATTTCATGCAAAAAATAAATGCGTGGGAAAGGTGAGTTCCAAAAGACAAATCAAAAGTCACTCAATGTGGATGTTCTCAAACTTCTGAGTGGGTGAAATACAGTACTGTACTTGACAAAGATTGCTCTCTCATTTCATAAAAAAGCTTTTTGAGTGCATTATTTGCAATTCTAATGGATTATCTAAGCCAGTTTATGTAGTTTGCAGACACACAAACCATTGCGCACCAAAGTCCATCAGAAGACAAGAATTTATGCCTTGTGCGATTTCAGCATTTTTATGAATGAACCAAAGTTTAATGAAAAACATCACAGATGAAAAAGCACTATTCCACTTTTGGCTGATAGACCAGAATCCATATCTCAAACCTTTGGCCAACATTAAACACCTTTCAAACCTAACCTCCTTCACTTTAACTCTAGCCCAAGGGGAAAAGAACTTATCCAGAATGAGTGACTGCGGTGCAGTCTTTCATTCAGATCATGCAGTTACAGATTTTCTTCCTCTAATCATCTCCTGGAGTATTTGCTAAAGACGGATTAGTTAAGTCAGGTGTGTAACTGCATGATTGGGATGAAATCCTGCACCCACAGCAGCTCATTCTGGATAGAGCGAGTACCCCTGCTTGATAGAGCGAGTACACGTGCCTGGCGTGAACCTCCTGAACCTGACCCTACCAAAACCCTAAACATAACTCCAAACTTTAGTTGCAATCCCATCAACTCCTTACTGGAACCCATTACCCGTAACCCTAACATTCCATAACCCTGGCCCAAACCATAATGTTGTTGGTTCACAAAATATTCTCCTCTTGTTATTATCTCAAAATAAAATGAGTAGAAGGCAATCTTTGTAGGCCTCAATAATCCCTCCCTTTGCAACAACTTTGTCGCAAAGACAGCTCATTCACTGACAAGGACGGTTTCTTAAAGGGGCTTGATTCTCATTGCTTGGTATGTCATGCTTAGAAAGAGGCACATGATGTACAAGCTTGCTGGTGTGACAGCCTCTGCTCAAAATCAGCATTCTACTGACCTCGACGTGATTTGAACACGCATCCTTCTGATCTGGAGTCAGAAGGGCTACTGTTGCGCCAGGAGGTCCCACGTGCCCATTTAGCTGTGGCTGCCTGTAGCATTTCACAGCATTTTTATGATTGACACCTAAATTTAATGGCAAATATCACAGATTAGAAGAATTAAAAAAATCTTCTGTTTTGGATGTTTAACCAAAATGCCAATCATACGAAGTTACAGCAGCTTCCAAAGCCCGGATAACTCAGTCGGTAGAGCATCAGACTTTTAATCTGAGGGTCCAGGGTTCAAGTCCCTGTTCGGGGAGAGTGAGATTTTCACGGATGTTGGCAAGATAGTGAAACAAATTGAGTGCCAGGAGTAGGTTTAGCTTCTCAATTCTACAGTCAAATCATATCTAAGTGCCTGTACTTCTGAGCGGGAGAAATTGAGTACTCAGCTTGAAAAACATTGCTCTCCCATTTCATGCAAAAAATAAATGCGTGGGAAAGGTGAGTTCCAAAAGACAAATCAAAAGTCACTCAATGTGGATGTTCTCAAACTTCTGAGTGGGTGAAATACAGTACTGTACTTGACAAAGATTGCTCTCTCATTTCATAAAAAAGCTTTCTGAGTGCATTATTTTGCAATTCTAATGGATTATCTAAGCCAGTTTGCGTAGTTTGCAGACACACAACCATTGCGCACCAAAGTCCATCAGAAGACAAGAATTTATGCCTTGTGCGATTTCAGCATTTTTATGAATGAACCAAAGTTTAATGAAAAACATCACAGATGAAAAAAGCACTATTCCACTTTGGCTGATAGACCAGAATCCATATCTCAAACCTTTGGCCAACATTAAACACCTTTCAAACCTAACCTCCTTCACCCTAACTCTAGCCCAAGGGTGCAAGAACTTATCCAGAATGAGTGACTGCGGGTGCAGTCTTTCATTCAGATCATGCAGTTACAGATTTTCTTCCTCTAATCATCTCCTGGAGTATTTGCTAAAGACGCGGATTAGTTAAGTCAGGTGTGTAACTGTATGATTGGGATGAAATCCTGCACCCACAGCAGCTCATTCTGGATAGAGCGAGTACCCCTGCTTGATAGAGCGAGTACACGTGGCATAAGCGTAACCCTCCTGAACCTGACCCTACCAAAACCCTAAACATAACTCCAAACTTTAGTTGCAATCCCATCAACTCCTTACTGGAACCCGATTACCCGTAACCCTAACATTCCATAACCCTGGCCCAAACCATAATGTTGTTGGTTCACAAAATATTCTCCTCTTGTTATTATCTCAAAATAAAATGAGTAGAAGGCAATCTTGTAGGCCTCAATAATCCCACTCCCTTTACAATAACTTTGTCGCGAAGACAGCTCATTCACTGACAAAGACAGTTTCTAAAAGAGGCTTGATTCTCATTGCTTGGTATGTCATGCTTAGAAAGAGGCACATGATGTACAAGCTTGCTGGTGTGACAGCCTCTGCTCAAAATCAGCATTCTACTGACCCCGACGTGATTTGAACACGCAACCTACTGATCTGGAGTCAGACGCGCTACCGTTGCACCACAAGGTCCCACCAGCCCATTTAGCTATGGCTGCCTGTAGCATTTCACAGCATTTTTATGATTGACACGAAATTTAATGGCAAATATCACAGATTAGAAGAATTAAAAAATCTTCTGTTTTGGCTGTTTAACCAAAATGCCAATCATACAAGTTACAACAGCTTCCAAAGCCCGGATAGCTCAGTCGGTAGAGCATCAGACTTTTAATCTGAGGGTCCAGGGTTCAAGTCCCTGTTCGGGCGAGTGAGATTTTCACCGATGTTCGCGCGCGTGGTGAAACAAATTGAGTGCCAGGAGTAGGTTTAGCTTCTCAATTCTACAGTCAAATCATATCTAAGTGCCTGTACTTCTGAGCGGGAGAAATTGAGTACTCAGCTTGAAAAACATTGCTCTCCCATTTCATGCAAAAAAATAAATGCGTGGGAAAGGTGAGTTCCAAAAGACAAATCAAAAGTCACTCAATGTGGATGTTCTCAAACTTCTGAGTGGGTGAAATACAGTACTGTACTTGACAAAGATTGCTCTCTCATTTCATAAAAAAGCTTTCTGAGTGCATTATTTTGCAATTCTAATGGATTATCTAAGCCAGTTTATGTGAGTTTGCAGACACACAACCATTGCGCACCAAAGTCCATCAGAAGACAAGAATTTATGCCTTGTGCGATTTCAGCATTTTTATGAATGAACCAAAGTTTAATGAAAAACATCACAGATGAAAAAAGCACTATTCCACTTTGGCTGATAGACCAGA